AGCAACGTTGTGGTTGTATTTCGTTTACTTAGTAACCTGCCATGAAAATTATAGAAGGCAGAAAACAAAACGTTAAACATCAGATCGGGAGAATGTTTGGAGTCTTGAGAGTGAATGCTTTAGTAGACAGTAAGCAACTACTTGAACTGGGCTTACCGTTGACTTCAAATGGCAACCTCTTCGCGGCTTGGGACCGGGATATGGACCTTGCCGTTCACCGCAGTTCGATATCTGAGGAAAACCCCTAATCGTGTGAATGCCGTAAGCCATCAGAAAACTCTTGGAAGAACAGAATAAAAACTTAAAACATTTTTCCATAGCAAAACCTCGACGAGTCCTCGCCATGTGTTTTGTGCAACATGTAGAAATTAAAGTGAAATTTTCACGTTCAGCTTTTTCTTCTTTTGTTGATGCGTAGAAAATCCGTAGCCCTTATGAAAACATGATAGACAATGGCAATGAAAAGATGATAGACTATAGTAACATTGCTAGTGACGACATTCCTGATCATTCGTAGTATGCCATTTCTCCTTTCGATTTGTAGTCCCGAAGTTGGATCAAATGATCTACCCAAACACCATTTGTAGACGTTTTAATGCACTACAAGACCGTCCAATTAAAATTAGAAGACGTTTCTCTACATTTAAGAATAAGTAATTCTGAAAGAAAACTACTAAACTATCAGAGAGGAAGGTTGTTGCCCACGGAATACGGCGTTTCTCTGCATTATGTGTGGAACCGGTAGATTTTTCAATTCGAATACTAATTGCATAACGGACGACTCGTTCACGCCTCATCAACCTCACGACCTCAGCTTCTGAAACTTGCAAGACCGCCAAACAGGGAAAGCTGGCAAGAACGTTTGGAACTTCAAAAGTAAAAAAGAAACTACGAAGAAAGTAAAAGAATTTCGCAGATCACGGAAAGAAAATTTCCTCAACAGCCACTACCTGATACTTGATACTTGAAAGGCCCGTCCTCACTGGTTGTGTGGGCCCCAGCATAATCATCTTTTGGAGTTTTGCTGGCTAAGCCATTGTGGTTTCCTCGAATCCTGAGGTCAGCCTGGCCAAAGTCTGCCTCAGGTCTTCACCACCACAGGCAGTGGCAGCCATTGTGGATCACAGAGAGATTTGCCACCATGCGACTTTATACCACGACGGTGGTGGATCCTGATATTGGTTTACTCGTTTACTCTTAGCTAGGCTTCCTGATGGAAACGCCTGATTCCTTCTCAGCTTGGGAAACCGTAAAAAGATTGGTATGCGACGTATTGAGGGCAGCATCGTAGTCTCGTGTTTCCCCGACAATCTTGGTTTTTACCTCGAATGACCGTTATTCAAACAATCGCTCATACGATGAAAAAGCTACGCGCGGTTAACGCGCAACGCCGACAGATTGATGGGAATGTGACGTCCATGCGACCACACATCGAAATACTCGAAATTCCACACCGGAGTTTATTGTCAGTCACAGAAGAGCACAAGGGTAAGTGGAGTGGAGATCGGAATGTTTAACAAACGAAATAGTCGGGTTGCAGCTTCTCCATTACAATTCAACGCGAAGGAATTCGCAACGGCCGCCAAGCAGAGTGGTAAGCGACTTAACAACACCATCCTTTCATCAATCTATTTACTGATCCGCCACGCCAGTAGTGAAGCTGTCAGCACGTATTAGAAAAACAACTGAAATATTAGAACTTTCATTTAACCCAATTGAAAACAATGTAATTGTCCACTCAATATATCTGTACACATGTTCTTAAAAACTTCCCTTTAACCAACGCGAGGTTGGTGAGAACATATATACAGAAATATCGATTATTATGCCAAGGTTTATAAGAAGTTAATCTTTTGACTTAATAATAGGTGTGCCAGCAAAACACTATCGACCCAACACTTGGAATTCCATTTGACATTTCTTCGAATGTCGCCCCATGGATGGCTCGTTCATAATAGCAAGTGGCATAATGGATAGTGAGTTGAAAACAGATAAAATCACAAAGCTTTGTCTTCGATTCATTCAATGGACGTCGTCTATCCACGCCATCGGATTGAATGATTTAAACGGTTTCGGGTAAAAGCATGTAACAGAGCCGTTAAAAAGTAGATGGGAGGTGTTTCGAGTCTACGAGTGGCAAAAATGTTGTCTAATTCAAAGAAAGAAAAAACGCAACAAACCACATATGGACATGTTCCATTAAATACTGTAGAAATAAAAGCCTCATTCTTCATCGCAAAAAAGAAAACTCAGTACGGTAGCTTTACGAAAGATGTGATAGAGACATTGCAGAAATGTGCTGCAGTCTCTAGGATATTAAGATGAATCACCTGCATCACCTGTAGCTCCGTTGATCGTCGAGTGACTCGAGCGGGCCTCAGTACATCTTCTACTTTTCTCTGTCGCGTGCAAGAGAAGCCCAGTGGGTTCAGCTCTCTAGAGACTCGGACAAGTCTCTAGTGTCCCTATTGAGATGAAACAAATGATAAATAACATTTATCCAAAACAATTTCGAAAAAATAGAGAGTTTAAATTTACAACGGATAAAATGAATGTGAAATCGAGAAAAGCGTTGGATAATGTAAAATATTGTTGAGGACGATGAAACAACGTGAAATGAAACTAAAGTAACACCAAAAGGTTTGTTAACGAGTGATCTGAGACACGCGTATGATGCCATATCAAACTCTCAATAGCTTAGAAGGGGCTAAACGAGCTCAATACGCTTTCCTGGTAGTGGAACTTGAACCTCCGAAAAGTTCATTCCTTTTCGTCCCAGTTTGTTTCGCTTCCTGCAGCTTACGTTCAGTTTCGAAACGCGACTTATAATCATAACGTATGAATGTCAATGTCCCTAAATATTTTGGTTTCCAATTCACTTCTATCACAATACAATTTTTTCATATTCACTAGTAAACACTACCACTTTTTAGAATTTTTCACACAAAAACAACCAACCTGGTTTATAATCCTCATTGCAAACCACAGGTGGGAGTGATGCCAAATTATCAAGAAGTTCTTCTCCTTGATCAGTATGCATGCTGTTCGACGACGGTTTTTTCTTTCCATCTAAGCGATGGCCAGATCCAGAGAAAGCAGAAAAGTGAGAACCAGAAGGACCTTGCAATGATTTAACAGAGGCGGCCGGAGGCTGCAAAGAAATATTCTGGTAAATAAGAGATTTTTCTCGCACATTGCATTTTCCACGTCAAAGCATTGCTCGTGCTTCCCTTTCTTTTCGTCGTTCTCTTTTGAAGCAATGACTTCGAAGAAATTTATAGTCCTTAGTTAAATTGGCCACAGTTCTAATGAGTGAACATTTTGACTGATGATCACATCAAATAGTTATCTCTCCCAATGCCCCCCTCAAATGCATACACCACACTAGCTGGTAATATTGACGTCTTTTACATGTGTAGTTCCCAAAATTAGAAGCTTCTGCCCTCCATAGCAGTTGAGAATTCTTACGAGCATAGATGCGGATGTAGAGCAAGAAAATTCTACACAATATGTGTAGGACTCCAAATATGAAGCACGGCGGAGTTCAAGAATTTTGCAATCTAGAAACTTCAGCAGTCACATCCAAATACTCTACTATCTGAATAGCACGTTTATCCATAGAATAATGAGCGTAATTAATTAGAACACATTTTTACACCTTTTACTTCAGAATTTACTTCATTAAGAGAGAAAATGGAGTCCTTTTCTAGGTGTATCGCAACAGATTGGTTGATATAAAGATTTCGCTCCCGCAAAATCATTTCTTTTCTTACAAATTACAATTACAAAGAAAAAGTTTGTAAGCCCATCTTCCTTTTACAAACGTGTATTTCAAGCGTTTTTCTCGAAGTTCACTACCTAAGATTCTAGCGCCACAGACTACCCAGCCGGAAAAGTCAGCGCTTTTTGCAAGATGGCACAAGAGATCAGATTTTTCAAGAATTATGGTACAGGACTCTATCTCCTCCATTTTATCGAACTGACATATTTTGTTGAGATATTATGCATTTAAGCACATGGAACCTTTCGTAAACGAGAAAAAAATGGTCAATCAAGACTCCATAAATCAAAATTCATGGGGTTTGAGAGAACCAATCAGTTCTGCCACATGTCCTATGACCTTTCACTAATCGTTGAATCACTAGAGTCGTCAGTAAACTCTCCATTTCTTCCTATCATGTGCAGGAATATCCCAGACGGTTCTGCTAGCTCTGAGGTTTCACTGACGATCGTATCGTTATCCTAGAATCCTCGTGAAAAATGTTAAGTATCGAAAAGATGGCCCCTGCTGTGCCGTTCACATCCCGAAGAATCCGGTCACTAACGGCCCCGTTCACAGGACTGGCGTGAAGATATTAAATAAACCGATAGTGTTCTTCATCGATGCTGTCGATAATGACATCTTTCCAAAATCCGACTAGTTGTTCCAATAAATCCTAATTTATGGTTTTCAAACTTCGTTTCTTGAATTTTTCCGCTACGACTATTTCCCTCAAAAGAAGAAATCACCAGCGTCATCGACACCTCAACTGTCACACGCTCCAAGAGATATTTCCTCTCCAGCACCATAAAAGGATGAAAGAATAAAGCGCTCAGCGTCGACCAATCCTTGAGGGATTCGTTATACATTCCGCTTCACCTACTGTTAGATATGACTGAATGCATATCTGGCCTATACAATGGCAGTGGCTTACTTATGTATCAGGTCAGTGATACCATGCAATTAAACTGCACGGTAGAGATAGAAAGTTTCGTAAGCACGGAAAGCTGGATCGAACCAAAGACCATGTGTGAATTGCGGAGGGCCTCCAGCCACTGAGCTAAACACGCCCTCCAGTATCACAAACGGTGTTAAATGGGTGGTTTGTTCTCGTCTGCCTCAGTTTGGTGACGTCATTGCTAATGCTCTTGGCCTTGCATCATCAGACCTTCAATGAACTGTACTCATGTGCAAATTAGCATGAATTGTAATATACATTAGTCCATGAACGACAATGATTTTAAAAAGCTCTCCGTACTCTGCTACCACATGCTACTGCATCTTTCAGGGTCACTAAACAAGACTCTTCATTTTTTTTTCCGGTCCTAGAAATAAGTACCCATACAGAAGACTACTTAGCGAACTATTCTGTGATGACTGTCGTCTGTAGCGCAGTGGATGGAGGCACCCTGCAATACCCATGGGATCGATCTCCGCGCCCCAGGCCCATAAAGCCCTCCCTCCCTCCGGGTTGGCAAATTGATATCAGACTTGTCTGGCAGGATAGCAGCACAGGCTTGATACATCGCTAGAGCACCGCAAGTCATTGTAAAGGCTAGACACGCACTCAACCTCCTCTAACGGTGTTTAATGAAGTCGAATGCTTGTCGCATCGCTCACGCATAGATCAACGCTGACAGCCTTGCCCTTTTATCGTTTTGTCAACCGAATACCTTACAACAGTAATAGGTATTTGTTTCTACAGAGCACTTGATATGCAAAGTGGAAAAACTACAAAGCCTAGTAGTAGCAGCCAAAAAAATCACTTTAAAGTTCAAACAGTTATTTATAGCAGAAAGGGCTTCAACGATCACTCAGATATCAGTTTATTTCTACAACTTGAAGAATGTCGAAATTTTTCCCATGAGACGTGTACTGGACAAATACATCGGCCTCTTGATTAAAAACCTATTATACAGTGAATTTTAAAAATACAGCACTAATACCTTCAAAGAAGATGGCTTAGTGTGTGTCGATTCGTCCACATACCCTTCTGGTGCATCGAAATCTAAGTTCAGGTCGCACTCAATGATGCAGACAGCATTGCTTGGCATAACTTCCTGTACCAAGAATTCGAGGACTTGATCCGCATACTGAAATTTTATTATTAATTTGACTTCTCATTTAAATACAAACATGAATTCAAAGAAGTGAAATTGGAACCGCACCAGAACAGCAATTACATCGTTCTTCGTAAGACAGGCGAATTTACGCAACTCCACTTCCAAAACGGCTCTGAATTTCTCTGTTTTACGAACTGCAAAACACTACGATTTAAATACATCTACTCGATAACTCAACTCCATAGATTTTCAATGCGACAATATTTTACCTCAAGGAGCAATTTACTACTCAGAGACCAAATTGCGAAAATGAGCCAAAGGAATGGGAAACGAAACGTTATAGAGATTTTGAGCACTATAGCATAAAAAAAAATGACAGATTTGGGGCGAATTTAACGTTATACGCAATAATTATCTGACCTAGCCTAACGTCCCGAACCTTTTATCCCCTTCTTCAAAACCAACACGGGCGGATTGGACTAGCAGATTACTTGAGCGAATATTTTAATCTCAAAATAAAGTCTAAGCTACTTCGTACACAGCGTAAACATCTTCACATATCGTGCTGTTAGTGGAGTTTGGTGTATTGTTCACATCGGATGATAAATATTTGTCTGCCACAGGCTACAAACAAGGTAGGAAGGCGAAAATAAGCATGAGTTAGTCGACAAGGTGCTTAATGCTTCTACCTTCTACAAGCTCTTCACTCGAGTAAAAAGTTCTGCACATTATTCGACGAAGAACATTCATCCCAATAACAAGTCCGGACGGAGAAACTCATAGCTTAACGAGAGTACAAGAGAAAGTACTGTCTCAGTTTCCCAGAATTAAAAACAACTTCCAAAGCCCTTTAAACATAAGTGCTTAAAGAAGAGCTGCGTAACTAGTGTTTCCCTAACCAGCTCCCAGAGGGCCCTTTAAAATCTTGGTAATGATTTTAAGACTGAAATATCGAGATTATAAACGGTGTAGTGTTCCGGAAGGTGACATAATCTGACCAAAACTACTTATTGCTACACTTGAAAACATCACGTGAAACGGGAATAGGATTAGATAACATAGGAATGAACAGCAGGAAACTCCACCAAGTTTGCCGTGAATATGAAACCACCCTGGTAGCAATATTGAAATTCAAATTTATAAAAAGCAGATTTGTTTCTAAAGCCTCACTGATATTTTTCTAAAGCTTGATGATGGAAAAAACCTTTTAATGGTCCAGCCATTTGCACCCCGAACAGATGGTCAAAATAATGATCGACTTGCTTCTGGAATGTTCAGTAGACACTATGGTTGTAGTGAAGAGGAAAACTAACACCATGGTTCGCACCACGTCCTCCGTCCCAGTACTCTACGTGCTTTAAATATGTCTCGGAAACAGGGACACATATAAGCATGATGAGACAGCATTTTCGGACGTACAACGAAGAGCGTCATACCGACATGAGTGTGCCAAATCACGGAAATCAAAGATGGAAGTCGAAGCCCCACTATTATTATTAAGTCGACAACCGAAAATCACCAACGCTCCTTCTCCTCCTTTTACTCTTTTTTAACTCCTTTTACTCTTTTCAAGCAATTTGTTCTATACGATAAATTACTTGAAAAGGGTAAAGATGGCTAGATTCCTAAAGTCTATTAACAACAATGGACAATAGCCACTGGTGACTAAGTTCCGGATGTCCAACGAGGAACATGCAAACAACTCGCAACCACGTTCAGAACTATTCGTCCTCTGCGTAATGACAATAATCTGTTTGATCCTGGCACGATAAAGTTGCAAATAGAGACTTTGTTGACTCCCCTTGAGCAATTCAATGTCGTGGTCTCCAACGGTTTACCGCCTCATTGTGGGTGAGAAATGTTTCCGGGCATGACCGCGTTGTGCAGTGGAGGGATTCGTCCATCCGGTAGTCTCCGAAGCTGAAAAGGAGCCCGGTGTTTCTATCAGGAAGCCCAGTTAAAAGTAAACCAATACCGGGATCCACTACCGTGCTGATAACAAACTAGTCGCATGGTGGCAAATCTCCCTGTGATCCACAATGGCTGCGACTGCCTGTGGTGGTGAAGACCTGCTTGGCGCACATTTTGGCCAGGCTGACCTGGGGACTCCAATGAAACAGTCGCTAAACCAGTAAAACTCCGAAAAATGGAAAATAAGCTGGAGGCCATACAACCAGTGAGGACGGGCTGTCCAGGTATCCAAGTATCCAGGGAATTCAATGTCCAACAGGACCACAGTTGCAAAACTGACATGTCATGAACGGTCGTTCGTTCTTAGTAACTTATTCTCTCGCTGTGTGGTATCAATACGGACGAAACGAATAGGGCGAAATCCAAGAAAATGTTAGTTTGGATAGTAGTTTCTTGTGGCATTCATCATAAAGTAGATTAGCTGACTCTCACAAACGTTCTTCAATTAAAAAATCTTGGTTTGGAGTTTCTTTGTTTGGTTATGGAGGCGTCTGGCCGAGTGGATTGCTATCAACTTGACCTTTCCAGGCTCTGAAGAAGGCAAAATCCGCCGAAACATCAGCTTAATCGTGAACAAAGAATAATAACACCTCGCGTTTGCTCAACAGGAGTACGAGGAGAATCACTTGATCAATGCCGAGGTTAATAGAAAGTCGGTCGTGGCAGTTCTTCAATTACTCAAAATTATTGAAGCTAACTTCACATGTCAAGAATATTCTTCTTAAACACTACTCAAGAAAAAGTGGCACATACCTTGGATTGCTAATGTTCAAGAACTCAGGAGACTGTGGTTTGAGCTTCGCGTAAGTGGCAGAAGGGAGAGTTACGGAATCAACACGTATCTCAGCCCCATCATCAATACGCAACTGTTTCATCATCTGTATTTAAACACAGACCAATCGCAAAAATCTCAGCATTTCAAAATCACGTAGCTACGTAGAAAGACACGTAAACTTATATTATCCGATGAACGAACCCATCGTGGCAGGTACGCTTTTCCTTCAGGAGCTGAAAATTCAAGTACACCACAATTCGTAGCCCTAGGTGAATCGCCTAGCGCAGAAACCTGAAAATTAATCTCTACAAGATTTTAGAACGCACATAAAATCAGAATATAACAGGAATGTAAAAATACCTTGAATAGCATGGGATAAGGCACATTGTATCGGACCAAGTAGTCTAATGTTGAATTTGGCAACAAAATCTTAAAAGGAAATTAGACTGAAGTCTCAGCCGTAAAAGATGAATACAGCACCCACCTTTCCACCATAATTAAGCTCCGTGACTTTAGCTAAATCAGCATCAATGAAGGCAGCAGAGTAGGCACGCATCTGACAGCTGTATCGTCCACCGTATCCGCCTCCGATGCCCATCATTTCGCTCAGTATGTTCATCATCGTTCAAGGTTTCGAAGAAATCAAAACAAAACCTGTAAGTCTTTCTGTTCTGGATTACTTCAGGAAGGTAGGACCTTTGGAACGTCTTTTCTACCTTCAAGAACAAGAAACCCATAGAATGGGTGAAATTTTACAAATTCTCCGCTTCTCTATAAACTCTCTTTAATGAAAGCAGTGCATTTTCCCCTCAGTATTTTACGTACTCGATCGACAGCTCCTGCACCTTAGATTACCAATCAGGATTGAGGTAAGAAAAGCAGTACTTCACATCAGATAATTTATAATGCTCCTCGGAAGTTTACTGGTGAAGTCAAAGAGACCTACTGTTGATTACCATGGTAAACAGACATCCTCAGTAGCGAAAGCACAAGATGAGGACAGTAAGATTTCTTTGTGATTAGCTGCTTTCTGTGCCAAGACAAGGTAGGACAAGGACTGTCAGTACTGCCAATAAGGTGCTCGGTGCTTCGTTTAGAAGTTGGGACTGAGCGGGCACGCGCGTGCGTTACAATCCAGTCCGCAACTGACGAAAACTTGGGCGTTGACCGAAAACTGTATATGTTTTAAACAAAGATTTCCACTAAAAAACTTGGTAAGGCAACGTGACGCTATCCTGTAAGTTAGAGAGACACATAAGCAAGCATTAAGTAGAGAATAAATGTTCAACGCCAAAAAAGGACACCTGATGATAAAAGAATATAGGATAAAGGATAAAGCCCTCGGCGTTGATCAATCGCCGAGGGATGAGCCATATATTCGACTTCTTTAAGCATCGTTGGATGTGATTGACTGCATATCTGGCTTTTACAATGACTCGCTGTGGCCTACCCATGAGTCTAGCCAGTGCTGCTATACTCGCAGACAAGTTTGGTACCGCTTTGCTGACCCCGTAGGGATGGAAGTACTGATGAGCCACGGTACGCGTACTGCATGGCGCCTCCGACCACTGCGCTACAGCTGATGGTAAAAACGAATATTAATTTCTCCCGCCAACCTGGTCAAACAGTTAAGCTGGCAGTTACCAAGACCAATTTTCTGTTAACCTCGGTATTGATTGATAATTCGATGTTTCTCTTCAATAAGCAGACACGAGATTGTTATTATAAAAATTGTTAGGATACAATAGCTGACGTTTCGGCGGTTTCGCCTTCTTCAGAGCTTGGAAATATCAAACTGAGATGCGACCTACCCAGCCAAACACTTTCATAACCCCAGCAGATAAAACTTTAGAAATAAATTTGAATTCGCATAAGAAACAGCTTCATTTAAACACCTACCGTTTACTTGTTGTAAGTATTTAAGTTACTTGATGGATAGCAGCTGCACAGAGTAATGCATGGGCGAGGACTGTGCCTGTGTAATGTCATTGGATTAGCCTTTATTTGTGAAGTTTAATCTGCTAGGATTATGAAAGTGTTTGGCTGAGTAGATCGCATCTCAATTTGACCTTTCCAGGCTCTGAAGAAGGCGAAACCGCCAAAACGTCAGCTATTGTACCCTAACAAAGTCAAGTTGGCATTTCCTCTTTATTTCATACGACGAGCAGACATCACACGCCATGCGGATCCCTGTATCTTTTGCATTTGATTCGAACAGTTTCGCATGAGTTAGGTTCCGCTTCCATCTGAGGAATTTTGTTAAGACCATCGTTTAATGTCGATCGGCTTGATTCCCCCTAGAATTGTGGGTCAACCAAGCAAACACGTCATCACATCTTCTTTACCTTTACCTGGAGTTGGCAACTCTTATGGCTTGAAAAGAGGGGTTTCGTCTCAAAGAGATGTGGTAGGAATGTGTCACGGTAACGAAGCGATGGAGCTCGGTTGGTTTGGTTTCGAATCAAACAAGAGCCTTTCTTTTATCGAACAGCATCGCTACCACTGCACTACTTGCGCCCTCGACATAGCATTAATAAACCAGAACTAGACCTGATGAAAGAAACCACTCCATATGAAAAGGATAAAGTTCTCGGCCTTGGTCAATCTCTCATGGATGTGCCATGCATTCGACTTCACTGATCATTGTTTGGAGGTGATTGAATGCGTATCTGGCTTTTACAATAACTCGCGGTGGCCTACCGATGTATCGAACCAGCGCTATTATCCCCAGACAAGTCTGATATCGATTTGCCGACGCCGGAATGACGGAGGGCTTGGTGGACTTCGGGTGCGAGGATCGAAACCATGTGTATTGCAGGACACATCCGACCACTGCGCTACACTCGGCCATCTTATATTAGGGCTATTTAATCTCTTCCTTCCATTACGACAGCAAGCAAACAAACTTCTGAACGATTTGTGTACAACACCGAACTTCTTGCGTGGTCATGAACAGCTTGATAATCGGTATATTTCTTCGTTAATCATATATCCAAAAAACGAAGTATTTTGGTGCCAATACCAATACGAGAAGTAAAATTGAAATTCGATGCCGTTTATTATATGAAAGCGTTGGCATAACCAAAAACCATTACCAGTATTTCTATATCACACCAGGCGAGCAAAGACTTATAGAAACAGAAAAATATACTCCACAACGATCTTCAAGCAAGCATAAAAGAAGCAGTAACCTCAAGTTCCCCTTAGTATTTGTGTTATAATAAAGAAGTAAAACAATCAACCCAGTAAGAAGAAAACTGTGGGTTGTAAAAAACCAGGTTATAAAAAGAAACTGATAGACGAATAGAACAAGAAAGCAATAATTTCGAAGAAGAAACAAGACAACAAACTGACAAGTGCAACAGTTTGTGAGACAAATTTTCTAGAGGACCAGTAAGCATTTGAACAAGTGCGGAAGAAACAAGTTGCAAAATATCAACATGAAGAACGTTACTATGGCAAGAGAATAGAGTAAAAAAATACTATTCACAGAAGATTAACACTTACAGTCCGATACGTTTATTCTCGAACATATGTGAGCCATATCTGCAGCCGTGAATTTGTACCAATTCATTTCCTCCCCGATCGTTTATTTGGGGCACAAAGGTATTCTGCTGAACTGAACCTTGTATTCATCCTCTAATCCAACAGAGAACGATCGTTGGACCAGAAAGCTACTCTTTAAACTTAGTAATGTGTAGAAAATATTTTGAGGGCTTAAAACTGCCGGTTACGCGGATACAAAGATAGCACGAGTACCGCACAGCATAAGCTCACTATGATGTCTTTGTGTGAGTTTATGAATACTGTAGCGAGTTATTGCCTTTTACATCAATACGAACGATAACTACAGTTGCTAAAATCCCGTTCACGGGTTATTGTTGATAGCACCTACAAGTCAATTACGAAACGAAGGACTCGCATGGTGTGATGGTGAACGCGAAAGCTCCCGGAAATGTTAATAGAGCGTTCCATCCCCACCGCAGACACCTGTCGCCCAGAGTTTTGCAAATATCTCAGCATCCTTATAGTTGCTAATGTTGCTATGTATGACTATATGGGGAAGATTGGTAGCCAGCATGGACGGCGAAAAAGGTGTCGGACTATGAGTGTTAAAAAAGATGTTTCATTGTATTTGTGGTAAGCCTCACTAACAAAGTTATGTAGTTATTCACAGAAAATATAGTCACGAGAAGAGCGTTGCTAATGGAAAGAAAGATAGCTATTAAGAAGGTTGAAGGAAGAAGAAGAAGTTAAAATCAACAGTCAAACGGTTCCTCTCCATCAGTTTCGCTTGTATATGTACCGTAATAACGATCTCCAAAGTTTCCCATTCCGGGAAGAACATAAAAATTATCAGAAAGGTGACTGTCAACGGCCGTTGTGATGAGACGAACCTAGGAATCAACACTTTTAGAACCAGTAGTTTCACCTATTGGTATCCATTTAAGCACAATGAGAGCAACATTCATGGACAAACCATTTCCAAATTCCGGTTGAAAAGAGAGTGGACAAAGAAAAGTGTGGGGAACCAATACCATTTGTAGATTTGAAGTGGTAACATCAACGAGTACGGAGAAATATTAGTCAACATGGCTTTGTGAAAAATCATAAATTGCCGACACTAATCTTAGTGGTAAGAGTGTTTACCTTAGGGAATGCATAAGCAAGAGCATGAACTCCTGGCTCGGACATAAGCAACGAAAGGACGTAGATATTTTCTTCCGGAACGTCATGATCAAGAAGTATTCTTATTGCCATCATTGCGGCAGCACCTTAATATTACAAAATGATCTGGTTATTTTATTACCAAGTGGCAATTTTAAACGGACGAACCAGTTGCGACAGTAGCATCAAGAAGCATCACTTTGTATTTGTCGATATCCTTAGGAAGGCGAAGGTAGAATAATTCAGGCACCAAAGTTTTATCATTAGTTTGGATAAGAATTTTTCCCATCTAAAAATCAACCACTGCAAAACGGAGTTCATCTGCTGGTAAAAGTTGTGCAGATTAAAAGAAAATCATGAACAGAAGTCTTACCTTACAATCCTTTACGACAGCTCTAAGTGAATTTTCCATTGTCTCACCGGCTCTCATTATTGCGACCCCACAAATCTGAGCGCACTGTCGACGTCCTTTTACTCTAGAACACAATTTTTTCCTGGAGCACAGAGGCAATCATTCGGCTACTTGTAGGGTCACTGATAGAAGAACTGCCATCCCGCTCGCATCTCACTACTTGTTGTGAAATTTCCAAAAAACTTTTTATGGAAGTTTGTTGCTTACTGCTCTAAACTATTTTAAAGATTATAATTTTTCCACTACTTTCCGCGTGGCAATTTCTCCAACACTAAACCTAAAATCATTTCAACATGGTTGAAATGATGCTCATAAGTCGAGAATTTCGGGTAGCTTTCTTCTCAAACTTCCCTAAAGGGACAAAAGACAGATTTCCGGGAAAAACACTGAGTAGGTCAATAAAGCAACGACAAAGGAGGCGGTTCAAAATGCACAGTACACAGATGGTTCAAAAGGTTTAATAATGGACATACATCTTAACGATAAACAATGTTTCCAACGCCTATCAGCAATTGAAGAAGACCATCTTAAGGTAACAATCGAGGATAGTTCTCGAAAAAGTACTCCAGATGTTTCAAGAGAACTCAATATTAACATCTCATTAACGATAGTTCAGTATATTGAACACACTAGAGAAACGAAGAGGCGTACAAACAACGACATACAACCACACAAACTGAGAGAAGAGCAACCAGTTCATTATTACGATTTAGAAAAGCTTCTTAAGAAAAATCACCTATTTCTACGCTATTTATCCTCATGGGCGCGTGTGGTGCAGTGGTCAGGGGCGTTCTACAATACACATGGGATCGGTCCACGAGCCTCAGACCCACCAAGCCCTCCATCTCTCTGAGGTCGGTGAATTGGTAGCAGACTTGTCTGCGAGGATAGCAGCACTGCCTCGATACATCGACAGGCCGCCATTAATCATTGTAAAGGGTAGATGTGCATGGAATCACCTCCAAACGATACTTAATGAAGTTGAATACATGGCGCACCCCTCAGGGATCGACCAACGCCGAGAGCTTCAACTCTTTTAATCATCGTGTACCAACGCTGATCACACATTACACAACAATGGTTTAGGTGTTAAACAAATTAAACTACACCCCTGGACCATTCTCATGGGACTTCTGACTAACATGTTACCACCTCTTGTTTCCTGTTAAACCATTGTAGCAGCTGCGGCTACAACATGGCACAATCTTCAAGAGACATGCTGTTGTTAAAAACGCTTTCAAAGAAGTCGTCGCTTTCAGGACATCGAAATTCTGGACTGCGGGAAAAAGCAAGCTCGTGTTTTATTTGCAAAAGTGTGTAGAACCTAACTCTTATTCCTATTAACAAATTTGAAACGACAGCTTCTTTTGTTTGCTTTCCATGTGGGAACCCATGGTGCGGAGAAAAAACTGACCTGGATGGCTCTCAGATTGCAGGGACCACGTATACCTTAGGGATCAATGATCATGGAAAACAACATGGAGAAGGAATTCGATAGAAGGAGAGCAGCTTGGACTACATTCCGGACTTCTAAAGAAGCACTGACCAACTAAAAGACCCGGATATCCGCGCACACCTTTTCGAGATTCAACGGTCCTCTCAGCGCTGTTATGCTGCTGAGGCGTGGGCTGATCCTTTAACCACTTCAAGAATAGTGCGCATTACTCACAGAGTGCTTGAACGATGTCTTCTAAAATATAACCAGCACACTCAATATCTAGCTGGAATACAAAGCTCTCATATTCGAAATTCTATCTCATCTTCGTGACCCAGCAGAATACACATCAATAGGGAAACAGAGATGTGCCGGCGACATAACAAGAAGAACAGATTACACATGGACAAATAGAACAGTGGATTTTAAGATAATTCAAGCGTCCTCTTAGAAGACCGCGCAAATGATAGGCGAATGTGTTCATAGCTAACGTCAACGATCTGCGCTCACAGTATTTCAGAACTATTAATGAACCTAGCGGAAGTCAATATGTTCAAAAGAGACCACCACCATGGACGACGATTGTGCGAGAGAAAAACGAACAGAAATTATGCTGGAGGTTGCACAACCAGTGGAGACGAGGCATCCAAGTACCCAAGTAAGTAATTTAGTGTTCAAGTACAGCACTGAATCTTTATCCCCATAATTGTAGCAGTAGCCAAGGATAAACAAAAACGTATAGCAACCAGTTTTCCCCAAACTATAAAGCATAGAGCAGAGTATTTCTCAGTTGTTAGTCACAGCATCTGAGCTCATAGAATATGAAAAACGTAGCAGTAATGTTCTTTGTGACAAAATAAACTACCGGCAATAAAAATAGTACAAATCAGCTGGTACCAGACAACGTGTCTCGTTACCAATAAATTCTTAATAACTGCAGTGAAAATAATAATAAAGTTGTAGTTGAGCTAATAGTAGGTCGACACTTTAATCATTAACATTTCTCTAGCTAATCAAAACATACCGCTGACCACTGTTTAGCTCAATCTCCACGTCCTTATAAGGCATAAATTTCATCGCCTCTTCGACAAGTATTCGCGTGAGCCGATCAGCGTAGAAAATTATCTCATCTCTTGAAAAACTCGTGGATCACAAGCAATTGGGTACAAAACAAAAATCATAGGTAAAAAGATAGGATACCAACTAAGTTCACTCCTGAACTCAACAAAAACAAAAAACTCAGTAAACAAGCTGTAGAAAATATTAAGCTGAAGATAGAAGAAACGTTTCTTCTTCTGTAATTTGGTGACGATATCGCTCACCTCTTAGTGTTTTTATTTCGAATAAATGTATGCAGACCGCGAACTTGTGGAGTTTGTCTAATGATTACGAGATTATCCGGTAATTGGTCCGGAATTTGACTCATATTCACCAGATCGTGTCGGCATTGAGAATGAACAGTTTGATCGTATCCTTAAAATTACTATCACTTCTAGATAGATTATTGGTATATAGAAAGCCAGCTGAGTGATAGGCGAAACTAAAGATCTGGATGGTGCGGTGGTGAACGCGTTGGCCCCTGGAAAGGGTAATAGCACGTTCGTTCTCCACCGCAGACACCTGCGGTCCAGAGTTTTGCAAATATCTCAGCATCATTGTGGTTGTACCACACATAATACCCTGCCGTGGAAAACTGTAGAAGGCAGCAAATAAAAAGTTAACTACCGCTTATGTTGGTACAAAACTGCCTCAAACGGTGTAGATGTAACTTCACCTCTTTTGACGAGTTGCGTCATGACTTGTTTAGCAATGAGATTGATAGCCACGTCATTGTCTCCACCACGAGGCACAATTATATCAGCGATCTTCATTCCTGGTGCAATGTACGCTTCGAATGCAGGCTAAAAAAACTTCTTAGTATTCAGAATTCAGGAGTGTAAAGACACTAAAAAAGTTACAAGCTGTATAATATAAGTTATAGCATATACTTATAGCATATACCTTTCCTAAGGCCTTCAAATAAAAGTATTCAGCATATTCGCAAATTCGAAAGCAGGAAAAAAAGGAAAACAAGATAGATAATGATAAGTCAAGGGAAGAAGTCCAGTTAAGAAGTTGTTAATTTAGCTAAATCCACGATTCCATCGGCAATCACACAGGAAATCTCACTTCTTATCATAAACTGAACTTTTTTGGCAGAAAAGAAAACGAGGTAAAAAAGGAAGATAACAACATAAGTAGTACAAAGAATAAAGGAAACGCGGCAGAAAAAAAAACGAACAAAGGGGAAGAAAAACAAATCAATGTGCTTAGTGCCCTATACTTCACAGAAATAAGAAGTAAACTTGAGTAAATAAGCAAAAAAGGGACGTAGCAATGAAAGCACCCACTTTTACGAACCGAAAATATTGGTCCAACACTCCAACAATATCACGCCCGCGCTCATTTATATCTCTGTTAAGGCGACGCGCCAAACGCACGTCACCATCCGTATCCACAAAAACCTCAACAATTTCTACTAAAGTAATATTGAGAATTTTGACAGGATATCTCTTAAAGATTCAAACTTACCTTCATGTCCATCATATCATTAATATCGGGATGATAAAAAGCAAGAATCCCCTCAAAAATTAAAACATCTGCACCATACATTACCTGATAAAGCAATTTTTACAAAAGAATACATTCAGCCCACTTGGTGCACCAACTTTTCTCATAATTCATCCAGAAGTCCCAACCTTTGGATTAGAGTCACGAGCATGAGTCGTAAAGTCATACACTGGCACTTCGCAACTCTTTCCTTCACGTAGACGAGATAAAACCTTAAAAATCGTATTAGTAAATATAAACCTTCGAAAAAAAAGACTAACTTGTGAAACCGCAGCACGCTATAACTCTATAACAGATTTTTTAAAATAGTAAATGATAATTCCTCCCGCCGCTTTACCGTCTCACTGTGGCTGGGAGGTGCTCCTGTGTGTCGGGCTGCGATGCACAGAGGGGTTTCATCCCCCCAGCAGAGTCTCTCAAGCTGAGAAGTCCGGCGTTTCCACCAGGAAATCCATTTAAGAGTAAACCAATACCAGGATCCACCACCGTCCCGGTATCAAACTAATCGCATGGTGGCAAATCTCCCTTTGATCCACAAGGACGGCGACTGTCTGGGGTTGTGATGACCTGGGGCAGACGTTGGATAGGCTGACCACGGTACTGTGAGGAACCGCAATGGCTAAACCAACACAACTCCGAATAAGTGGAAATTATGTTGGGGTCCGCACAACCAATGAAGACGGGGTATCCAAGTATCCCAGTAAGCAAATGATATTTGGCATCGATAGAAGCTGTAATTAAAAATCAACATTTATTCAGAACATTCCTCAGCTACCTCATGCAGAAGGTCGAAATCGAAGGCATTCGGATGGTCGAAGTTGTAATTCGACTTAGCAGCCTGTGCGCATTCCTCTTCGCTCAAAATCTAAACAAAATCCTGTCATGAACATTGACGAATACCATAAACATACCCGGTAGGATACCTTGTAGAAACTGTCCATACTTATTATCGTCACCCATGGGATTTCTAGTTTCTCTATAATCTTCTCCGCAACTGTTGTCTTACCACTGGCAGAGCTAAAACAGATGATATCGAACTCCAACTGATCGCACTATGATTAAGAAGAATATATCACAGCATAGATAGTAACAGCCAACGTTCGTAACGTTCAAATTCTCGCTCCAACATATAATAGAGGAATAGAAGGATTTCGGTGTTATTCGACAAAAGATAGCTTTAACACCAATACGCAAAGTATGAACATATTAGAACCTATTTAGACTACAGTGCAACTTATAAGCCCTTCATTTATAACTGCATTAATCTCTGTAGAGAAAAACAAACAGCATCTGCACTAATAGAGCGTCTTAGTATGGTAGGGTTTATGCTAAGTTCGACGGTATATTGGTAAGGAACTATTCAAAGAACGCTGAGTAGCGGAGACTCACAGAACATAGTTTGACATCCGACTATAAGTTCAATACGAAGCAGGCAAACTCAAAAGAACATTGGCTAATGGACACATCATAGAGATCCCATCATTCTGCAATACTATTTAGTGCTCTGTTACCCATTATAACATCTTTCACTGCCATCTGGTGTTAAAAAGCTAGTGTTTCCTCACTCACATTACCACTCCGGATACTTCCTTCCTTCTAATGCAATTGAAGCATAGCAATAAGTACATATAAAAATTTCGCCACATTGCCTTACTTTACCGCCACTATTGGCTCAAAATTTCGGACAACTCCCAAAACAAGACTAACCTTCTATTTATTGCTTACTGTAAATTTTCATGGCAGGGTATTATGTGAAATGCAACCGTAATGATGCTGAGTTGTTTGCAAACTCCGGACGGCAGATGTCTGCGGTGGGGAATGAACACGTTATTACTTTTTCCAGGCGCTAACGCGTTCACCACCACACCATGTGGGTCCTTCGTTTCGCCTTTCTATCAGCTAGTTTTATATCTACGAATGCCAACAGCAATCATCATCAGCAGCAAATACTCAAAAAAATCAAAACACTGGTGCAAAAATAAAACAAAGGACTATTTTAAAAAAACTAACGAACCCGCCACAAATGCCAATGAGGTAGGGCTGTTTGAGTGTGTTACCCATCCTGTCATACCAAGGCGGTCTTCCTTTTGTATAGATCTTCTATAACGGCAACATATCAAATTATCATGTGATGGTGAGTGAAACAATGTTTAGAAAATGAGCGAGCAATCACTACATATTTATCCTATTGTCAACACATTCTTGACGATGCTGGTTCTTCAACACCTACCGAGAAATCTTCGATAACGAGAGCGATTTTTAAAGAAAGGTGCCTCCTATATACGGGCATATCTAAGTAATTCTTTAGAAATGCTGTCCAATTTTTCATTTAACGTGGAAAGTTAATGATATAAAAACCGAGTTCTTAACTAATATGCGGAAACCTTCTACAGTAACAGGAGACACTATGTGATAAGGATGATAGATATTTCATGGTTACGCGTGTTGGGAATTCGCTGTATCTACTGATTTGTTCTACAAGCTTGTAATTTCCTAGGAGACTTTACTCTGAGGGTTTAGAAGGAAATCAAAGAAAGACAGAGAAATGGTGTTAACCGATTAAACAAAACTCCTGCATATGAGTAATAGTTATGAGACAGGAAAACCGACAAGGTGAAAATTGCTTATGGTTTCAAATGCACTAGCTACAAACTTATAAAATCTCTGCATTAACTACCATCTTAAAGTAAGCTAAGGAATAGTTAGGTACCTAAATATAAGTGGAGTATGATGACGCGCGTGTAGTGCAATGGTCGGAGGCGCCCAGTAATACACATGGGATCGGTCTCCGTACCCCTAGCTCACCAGGTTTTTCATCCTTCCAGGGTCGGCAAATTGGTACCAAACTTATCTGGGAGTATAGCAGCACTGGCTCGACACGTCGGTAGGCCACAGTGAATCATTGTAAAGGCCAGATATGAATTTAATCACTTTAAACGATACCTTAATGAAGTCTAATGCATGGCGTATCCCTTAGGGATTGATCAACGCTGACAGCTTTATCCTTTTCTTCTACGGTTACGCGCCGGTAGCTTGGACAGCCAACCACCTAATATTTTGAAGGTCTAAATTTTCGCGTCTACGCATAAAATAGCCTAATTCTATGGGAAAAAACTTATCCAAAATAAATAACAAAAACAGTCACGAACTTCAGTTGAAGATAACCAGTTACTGAAAATCAATGCTAGCTGCGTAAAATATAAAGGTATCCTCACTCTGCCAGACTTGGTTGTGAGCAGATGGTGTTCAGATTTTGAGCCACTGATGGTTCGCAAGCGTTGACGTGCGACAGTGGGTGACGTCGACGGCAATGAGCAAACTCCATTGAGTAGGTCGTTCACCGATGAACCTATGAAAAGACCAGAAAAAGTGACAGACAACTTCGAAGAATGTCTAATTCGGCTAGGGAATGTAGAAAAAAATGTAGAGAACACGAAATAACAACAGTGTGAACACGACCACGTTCGCTGTCTTTTCTAAAGACAACTGAGGAGTTCCAAAGGCATAAGAATTAAAAAACCCTAAAACAAAGGAGGAAAGGGAACAAGTGTGATGAAGCGATTTCAAATAGACCTACCAGACAGATTGTAGTAGTCAGGGATTTCTCCAAGATGTACACTCTTCGGAATCGTTCCTACTTCATCATTTTGCCGTTCGACCATAACCTGAAAAGAGGCTTCTCACAACGGTCTTTACTAAGGCTCGTTTCGTTGTTTCACTGGCGTTCTATTTTAGATGATTCGAGAAGTCTACAGCTAGGCGGAAGCTTCAAAGATAAATGGTTAAGTACATAGAACACCACTACAAAAAGATGTTTTTCGACAAAGACCGTATAGAGAATGAGCCACAATCCATTGACATCTAGGAAGTACTGCAATAGAACCTGCAGAACTTTGCGGTCCTCAAAACTTGTTAGCAAAGATGTAATCGTTTTTATCTGTGCTAGAAATGTTACTAGTAATAAAAGACTCTATTTGATTTTTCATGCGATTTTGGCATCCTTAGAACCTCAACTATCTGAAAAAAAAGTCTAGGGTTGGTATGAGCGAAATTACTGAGAAGAGCAGGACATATCAGTACATCAGTCTTAACTAAAAAGGCCTGATTTGCTCTGAAGTAAGAGGTGATGGGAAAGTGGAAGTACTTTTACGTGAGGATGACCCTCAATCATTCTAGCAATGGAGCACAGAAAGTTCGGTACAGTTGCACTGATCAACTCATTTCAGCCTTGGTTCTCCTAGCAATCACCTTCCATATTCTTCTTTCTTTTCCCATTTCACGAGTTCAACAACACTTAGATGACTTACCTCTGCTTCCTTCCTGTTTTGTATGGGAGGCATTCGCCGTTCATTCCGTTGGCTGTTTTATCTGTGGGCGCGAAAAACCATCGACATGGCTGACTGCTGTACCCTAGCACTTTTTGATGATGAAGTAAAGTGTGAACACTCTAAGAAAAAGCCTAGAATCGCAAAATTAGGAACTTGTTAGGACAAGCGGAACAGGAGAAAAGCGGATGGGCATAGGAGCTTGTGCAAATGCCGACAGCTTAGTCGGACCTCTTGTCTCTGACAAGCATCTTCACTAGAAATCTATTCTAGTAGAGGACTCACCGTCGAGACGGACTCCACTAGTTGGAGAAGTGACTTGCAACAAGGACTCTAGTGCTGCAAACCTACTTGGATGCTTGGATGGCCCGTCCTCACTGGTTGTGCAGCTCCCGCATTATTTCCATTGTTTCGTAGTTTTGCTGGTTTAGCCATTGTGGTTTCCTGAAGTCCTGGAGTCATCCTAGCCAAAGTCTGCCCCGGGTCATCACCACCACAAGCAGTCGCCTCACTTGTGGATCAGAGGGAGATTTACCATCATGCGACTAGTTTGATACCAGAACGGTGGTGGGTTCTGGTATCGGTTTACTCTTACCTGGTCTTACTGATGGAAACGCCGCACTCTTTCTCAGTTTGGGAGATCCTGCTGGAGGGATGAATCCTCCTGATATACATCGCAGCCCGACACCCAGGAACACCTGTCAGCTACGATGAGACGGTAGACCGTTTAGAGGATCATATGAGGTAGAAAAGTGAAAGTTAGAAAGGCATATAGCGCATTCATGCTTACGGCTGGTAGATTGTATGTATCATGAAATATGGATATCCAAGTTCTGGATATTGATATTTACTTCCGGAAATGGTGAATCAGACATCCAATATAGAGCCCACTGGAAGAACCTGAAGAACCTTAAACGCGTTTCCTGTCATGTTCTTGTTTTCATTTAGGGCGACATGCAGCAGCGAACTAATGCTCGATCTCTTTCAGAAATTGTAATCGTGCCCTCAAGGTAGCCTTGTGGTGTATGTGAATGCGTTTCTCTACATTTCTTCGAAATTCTATCAGGCAGACACAGAAGCTGATCGGACAGGAGTGGAATATTCTCGAAAGCGATGTACACCTTATTCGTGTTGTTGCCGGCTCAGGAGGAAAAGGTTTGCCTCGGTAGGATACAGTGACTTTTCAATATTTCTCCATCTTTATTGTCGGACTTAAAATTCTCCCACCAGTGCTTTCTTGATGTAGAGGTATTTATTGACTCAATACTAGACATTACTACATAGGCCCGTGTAGCGCAGTGGTTGGAGGCGCTTTGCAACACACTTGGAATCGATCCCCAAGCCCACCAAGCCTTCTATCGCTTCAAGTTCGGCAAATTGGTACCAGACTTGTCTGGCAGAGTAGCAGCAATGGCTCCATGCATCGGAAGGCCACCGCGAGTTATTGTGAAGGCCAGTTATGCATTCAGTTACCTCCAACGACGCTTAATGAAGTTGAATGCATGGCACATACCTCAGGGGATTGATAAACGCCGAGAGCTTTATTCTTCATACTTTTGTTACATAAACGGTAACCATACAACTTATGTTCGTTCTCAGTTATATACCCTTCATGGCTTGGCACGCTATAACGTTGCTTTTTCAACGCTTTTTAACTGGGTTCAATGCCGATTTGTGCTCTCCAGGTCAATCCCGTTAACGGGTGATTGCTTATAGCGCACATAAAATACCGCTGAGAGAAAGCCGAAACGAAGGGCTTGTATGGTGTGTTGATGAACACGTTAGCCCCCAGAATGAGTAATAGCCGTGGTTCAATACACGCCGCAGACGCCTGCGGTCCCGAGTTTTGCAAATATATCAACATCGTTGTAACTGCTTTTTTATTTGTTAAGCACAAACTGAATGAATAGGTTTTATAGATACCTGACCGTCATTTGATCGCTGGTGAAGTGAATGTCAGTTTGGGAACCTTTGATTGGGTTGGAATTCTTGATACTCACAGTGGTTTCATTGTTAGCGCTGCATACTTCAATCTGATACCATGCCATTCATTGTGATCAGATTAAATCTGCATTACAGTTATGATGGTAGAGGAGGGACAGGAGGTAGTGTCTACCTGGTGACAACCAACAACATGACCTTCTCTGATATTCGGCGGAAACTGGATGGAAAAATGAAAGTCAAAGCTGAAAACGGTAGCAGTAGTCAAAAAGTTAAATTAGCTGGTAAAGATGGACAGCATGCGGTGCGTTTCTTTCTCCATTTTTCTTATTAATTTTGCGAAATCCTCCTGGTAGCTTTACTAATTCTTCAATGCGAACTCTTGTAGTATTTACAAGTTCCGGTGGGTGTAGAAGCCGTTGATGCTGATCGGAATATTCTTCTTGCGCGATGTTCGCGACCGTTTCAAAAGTATCTAATAGCCAGAGGAGGTGTTGGTGGTGATTTTCGGAACCAGTATATGTGGGTTTTGTTTTGGTATAAGTAAGCTTTCCCATCTCAATTCTTTCCAAGTTTCAGAGCCGAGAAGGGAGAACAGTTGAACGTTGCTCTTCATCTGAAACTTCGTCCAAACATCGGACTGGTTGGGTTTCCAAATGCTGGGAAGTCAACTTTGATGAAGGCATTTGTGCCTAGAAAGAGCATCAAAATAGCACCATATCCGTTCACTACAGTAAGTTACTGTTGACGCTTATAATGTACTGCTACAGATATCCAAAAAGGTGCGCGTGTGGTGCAGTGGTCGGAGGCGCACTGTAATACACATTGGATCTATTACCGCGCACAAAGCCCAACAAGCTTTCCATTTCTTCGGGGTCGGCAAATTGATACGAGGCTTGTTTGAAAGGATAGCAGCACTGGCTTGATACATTGGTAGGCCACCGTGAGTCACTATAAAGGCCAGATATGCATTCAATCATGTCCGACTCTCCTTAATGAAGTTCAATGCGTGGGGCATCTCTCAGGGATTGATCAACGCCTAGAGGTTTGTCCTTTGTCCTTTTCCACCTTGCCATCGATCAGGCTTCAAATTCTTAAACTTAGACGAGCATCTAACCATTTTGCCTCTTGTCATTCAAAAGCTTCCGTAGCTAAGTTAATGCTGAGTCGACACATTTACTAACTAGTTTTAGGTCAAACCCCAAATTGCGTTCTGGACAGCAAAGAAGGGAGGAGAGGAAGTCGAGGGCGATTTTACACTAACATTGGCAGACTTACCTGGTGATTTCTTACATTCTGCATGCTTTAGAAATGACATACTTTCCAATACCTCTACGATGATGTTGGCTGATTCCTATGGGCACTTGTAGTGGGGTGGCTGCAAAGCGATGGTGCGCCTTGGTTTCATTGTATTTCCTCTCCAGCTGTTTTTTCTGCTGAAGTTTCTTTACAGCACTACCTGTGTTGCATAATGTATTCAATGGTGCGTGTAGCGTAGTGGTCGCAGGCGCCCTGCAGGACATATCGGATCCATCCCAATGCCCCAGTCCCACCATGCCCTTCAGCCCTCCGAGGTGCAAATTGGTACCAGATTTCTGTGGGAGAATAGCAGCATTGGCTCGGTACACCAGTAGGCCACCGCGAGTCATTGTAGCTTTCAGTCAGTTCTAATGATGCTTATTGATGTCGAATGCATAGTGTATCCCTCAGCGATTGATCAACGTCGCAACCTTTATCCTTTATCCTTTAGCGTATTCAGTCGGTAGTTTCCTTACCACTGATCGTGTAGCTTGAGATACAGTGCTACAGCTGACAATTTCCAGAAGAAATTTGGTGGTAGTTCGAGCATTTCCTTCCAGGTTTAATAGAGGGTGCGTCTCAAAATCGTGGCAAGGGATACAAATTCCTAAAGCATCTCGAATATGCTGATATTTTGTTGCTGGTCGTGGATTGCAATGGATTTCAACTTACTAATAATCTCAATGAACCATTCAGGTAGATTAAGTTTTCAGTTTTGTTGGGTTTTTAAACATGTAGACGATGCTTAATTGACAGTGATTGTATTTTGTTCTGCAAACTTCCTCTCCCAATGGTTTACTACCTCATCGTGGCTGGGAGGTGTTCCTGGGTGTAGGACTGCAGTGTACAGCGGAGTGATCTATCCAGCAGAGTCACTCAAGCTGAGGATGCCCGACGTTTCCATCAGGAAGCACAGCTAAGAATAAACCAGTACCAGGATCCACCACCGTCTTGGTGTTAAACTAGTCGCTTGGTAGCAAATCTCCCTCTGATGCGTAAGGGCGGTGATTGCCCTTGGTGGTGACGACTTGGGGCATTTTGGTTAGGCCGATCTCGAGACTCCAGGGAACTGTAATGGCTAAACCTGCAAAGCTCCCGCTACAATGGGAATGATCCTGTGGCTCACACAACAAGTGAAGACGAGCTATAAGTGGTAATGCATACCACACCTACTTATTTTTCTTCGTAAATGAGGTTTTTTTTCCCTCAAACCAATCTTTTATAAAGCATGACTTCATTGCAGAAAATATGCACCACTTTTATAGTGAAAGCGTCTGCAGCAAAATTTCAGTCGCCTTCGAACTGTAATGTAAGGTGAAAAGGAAAGTAAGGAGGAATCTAGTGCTAGAATATATCCGTAGACGGTGATGTTTCGAGTGTTGATACCGATTTTTGCAGATCTCCTATAGAGGTAGTCGCATTACTTAACCGTGAGCTTGAAATGTACGACAAGAAGCTAGTACAAAAGCCGGCAATACTTCTGTTCAATAAAATAGATATTGTTGAAGACAAGCAAGTAAGTAGAACTTTTGTTACCGACTTCTTCCTAGACTTATCATCTTAGTTATCTTGTCCTGTTCAGATGCCTGAACGATTAGTGGAGAAAATGAATGCTAACAATTGGTGTTCACACGTTTCTGAAGAGATCCGACCGCAGAACCCCCTCAATTTTGACTATATTCTACCAATATCTGCAAAACTGGGAGATGTTGAAGCAGTGAAGAAAGCTCTTATTCGATTGTATCAAAATATACGACCTATGTTAGTACCCGAACGAATTGTTGATGACTTTGACAGACGTTTATTATGAATCTGTTGATATCAAAGTCGATGCTAATAGATGTGACAAATGTTTAATAGTGAACTAGCAAACACATTTTGATGATTTGATTTAGCAATATTTAAAGAGATGGGCTAGTGTAGCGCAGTGGTCGGAGGCGCCCTGCAATACAGATGGGATCGATCTTCGCGCCCCAGGTTCACCAAGCCTTTCATCCCTCTGGGACACGCAGATTGGCAGCGGACTTGTCTGAAAGGATAGCACACTGATTTGATACATCGGTAAGCCACCGCAAATTATTATACAGGCCAGGTATGCATTCAGTCACTTCTAACGATACTTAATGAAGCCGTGATCATGGCGCACCACTCAAGAATTGATCAACGCCGAGAGCTTGATCCATTTTCCGTCCTTTAATATTTAAAGAAAGTTGTTCGTTATTAGTACTGTCGGTTTCGCGCGATTGCTATACTGAAGCTTGAGGATCTTTGGAGTTCTTTCATCATTGATAGGCTCAGTGCTAGTTGAGAATGGTTTCCCTCCAATCGCGAGATAGCCATGTCAGAGAAGTTCCGTATTTTAAGTGGAAGCAGTCGCCAACGCTTATGAAACGAAAGGATATTTGGTGCCTTATGAGCTGGGTCTGCTCTAGGTGACAGAGATTGCTGCGATGTCTGCAGATCTAACGACAAGTCGAGCTAAGGATTTAGGGCCTTGTTACGAAGTGTGTCCGTTGTAGATTACATGAGTTATATTCACTGGAAAAAACGGGAAAATGAGGAACTAATGGCCGTTACATTCCTGAATGAGATACCCGAAACTTATAACGCTGCTAGAAATGTGCTTACTAGTTTCACACCCCTAAATCGCTAGCTCGATTTGTCGCTAGATCTGCAGACATCGCAGCAATCTCTGTCACCTAGAGCAGAACGTGTCTTGGCGTCTTATGTGTATTTGCCCTCTATAATGTTCCTTGTTCATCTAGTTGGAACGTCCGTGTCTTATGTTACCTTAGACAGTCCTGATAGCGGTTTAGCGATGGACGATCAAGAGCTGGAGTAGTGCATATTCTCCGAGCAAACTATCCCTCGGTGTTGCTGTTGGTGAAATAACCCTAATTTATGTGTTTTCCATAAAAAGAATGTTCCAAAAGGAATAACATGGTATGAAGTTTCATTCATAGAAAGGAAGAATAGTGGTGTGCTAGGACTGATCGTCAGGAAATAGAACAAACACTGGCGGATTTCCATCGCATTCTTCTACCCAGTCGCTGTACCGAACACGTGCTATCGTTGGAGGAAATCTGTAGTATACTGGAATTGCTTACTTGTGTACGTATAATGGTATTCTTACCTTTGACATCCTGAAAATATGTATGCTACGACCTTCATCCCTTTTTCCGACACACGCATGTATGGACTAGGGCCACCGACCAGTTCGCCGTTCTTAAATAATTGTTGGAGATAGTGCTCAAAAAGGGATTTGTTTATGGTAAAGAATAATGTGGAGTTTCGAGTTTTGTACGCTCCATGGTAAACTACGAACAATTCATCATCAACTGAACTTTGAGTAACAAATGCAACCGGAGTTGCCTTCAGGGCCAGATGAGGTGGAACGATTGGGTTCCTTGTCTCTACTGTAACTTATGCTTTCTGTATAAATGTAACCATATAAACATAGATGTGGGAACTAGAAAGCACAAGGCAGGTGGTTCTTGGTCGATCACAACAAGAGCTCTGCATTTGTTATACTGAGTCCGGATTCAAACCCTTCAGCGGATACTGATGATCTGACCACGGCTATCCCGTTGCCAAAAACAATGAAAGTAATGATGCTCATGAGAGTTAGCGAGCGAGTGGAAACCGTTGGTGAACCCTCTGACGCATGACAGGAATATCTGACAACCTTACTGGTGTTGGTTAGATTCGCTAATTGATTAACAAGAGTATAGGTAACATAGATAAGTATTGGTCTGAAAGTTTCAAGTCTAAGATTTACACCTGTGCAAACTTCGCCATATGTCCGGTTAACATTCGGTACAGCAGAAGTCCCACTCGGAAAACATCTTCGCCCTTAGGCTTCCTCCTGTTACGGATGCAGTCCTGTTTAACTCTTTTGGAACTCATGAAGCTATAATTAAGCAAAATTAATACCCTGCTTTCGACGGTCGTACACGACGGATCGATGTGGATACAATTATTTTCGCGTTGAATTGTGTATCGATAATCACTGACGAAGAGTCCACGTTACCATGGACAATATCTCGGCTGTGAAGGAAGATGATTGCGGACGTGATGTCTAAGTTAGGCTTTTTAACTTCTGTTTAAAAATATCGGCTATGATACTTGTTAAAGGGCGAGTGTAGCGCAGTGGTCAGAGGCGCTGTGCAATACACACGTGGAATCGATCCTCTCTCCCCAAGCTCACTAAGCCTTCCATCACTCCAGGGTCGGTAAATTGCTACCAGACTTGTCTGGAAGGATAGAAGCACTGACTCGATACGTCGGTAGGCCACCGCGAGTCATTGTACAGGGCAGATGTGCATTCACTCGCCTCCAACGATGTCTAATGAAGTTGAATACATGGTGCATCCCTCAGGGATAAATCAACGTTGAGAGCTTTATCTCTTATCCTCTATGAGAGTTGTTCAAGAAACTGGGATGTTTGTTTGAAACTCTTCCACTGGCTACTGCTAGCACTTTCTGAATACGTTAGCATAAAAGTTTATGTCGGTACCATTGTAATGTTTATGAACTGGAATAATTTCATGAAGCGAAGCGATATATTCTTCTTCTTGAGTCATTTAAGCTGGACCATAATAATTTTTTTCTAAAATAGGACCCGTAGGCTCAACGAGAAAGAGAATTGTCACAAACCAACAAATTCTTTTTCTCATAGTGTCTGTGTCCGTTGAGAACTAAGGCTAAAACATCGAGATGATCATAACTCTTCCAATATTTATGATTGCACACATAGATAACCAGTATTCGCTAATAACGAGCGATCGTGTATTCTACAGCACTTGTCCGCTTGTCTCGAAAATTTGCTGGTTGTGCCAAAGAGTTTCAGAGTCGTGTTAGGCCTTGCCCAGGTCGACACCACTTGTCAGCTTGTGGCTTTGTCTTTTGTTAAAATAGCACAGATTCCTGCGACTAATATACTTTTAAGTGGCCGTTCCGTTGGAAGCGCAGAATATCCTCGCAGCTGGCTAGACGAAGCACACGATGTTCATCTCAACTCGAAACCCAGAGACATTCCTCAGTCACGATGAAACCATGAGCCATTTGCCATCGTGTACTTACAACTCCGATTCCGATTCCGCTCCGGGCCAACCAAGCCTCTCGTCCCTCCGGGGTCGGAAAATTGGTACCGGACCCGTCTGGGAAAAAATCACTCCGTGCAATCCAATTGAGAACGCTCCAGTCAGGCTATTTCAGGACTCCAGAGAGAATTGCTCGACCAGCATTCTACAACATTTAAGATGAAATGGAAATCCTCAAGCAGCAACCAAAGCCACATGTTAAAGTTTTCCAACTTCATTCGTGGACAACCAATCGATCATCGTGGACAATGGAAGCGAGGAAACGAATCGAATGTGAGAAGTGCGGGGTTATTTCTACAGATTTGTAAAGTTTTACTGTAAAAAAAAGTTCTTCGCATGAACGATGAAGTAGAGGGGCAGTCACCGTTGATCACGAATGTGCCATGCATTCGACTTTAGACTGTGTGCGTCACCAACGCATATCTGGCCAGTACGATGAATCTGTGGGAGTCTAGTTCTATACCAATCCAGTTTATTTTATCTTCCCAGATTAATTACTCTACCCAAAAGGAACGGATGGCTTGAGTGGTATAGAGCGGGGGTGGAACCAACGATCATGTGTGCGCTCTAGGGAGTCTCTAACGGCTGCGCTACAAACGCCCCACTCTTCGCTTCATATTACGCACTTTATTTTTTCTTTTCTTTGGATAATTTCTTTTTGTCCGCAAATCGTATTATTTATCTTAACGTGAGCACGTGTTAAAAGTATTCAGTTCTCTTCGTTGACTCTTCTGGAAGAGATTTCTAGACAAAAGAAAGAATCCAATAAATGTTCGCTGAACGACTACGTCACTTCTACATGCACCAGGATTGAGTTAGTAAGTACTTCGTAGAATTGATGCGGCAATATGTTCTTCCAACGGAAATGGTCCATGTTTGTGGAACAATTGTTCAAGCGTTGTTCCTTCGTAGGTATCGCCTTCATTCTTGAAACAGCAAAACTATTAAACTCTTTAGACCTCTACTTTTCAAAGTACACCAGAATCTATGGAGGCTGTGGAACTTGCCATTAAAAAAACGATATCTGGTTTGTTTTTCCCGTAAACCACGTATTCGTTCATCAACTCCTCAACTAATGCTTGACGTTCTTCTAACGATGGGTTCAGCTCAGGTTCGACGCATGATGTTCGATTAGAACTGGAACGAACCTTTTGAGGGAAACGCGTATTCTGACTTTACCATTTTTTTTCAAACCATAATTTGGATTCCACTTATTGCGACTAAGCACTTGAATAATTTGAATGGTGGTCATGCATTATTCTGGAGGTTTATGCACCGATTTCAAAAATACCCATATCACATTTTCGCAATGGTAAGAATGTACTCAATTTTCGAGATAGTAATGAAAAGGGTGAAGGATAAACGTCTCCGCATTCATCAATCCCTGAGGGATACGCCATGAATTCGACTTCAGTAAGCATAATTGGAGATGACTAAGCGCATATCTGGCTTTCACAATGACTTACGGTGGCCTGCTAATGTATGGAGCCAGTGCTGCTATCCTCCCAGACAATTCTGGTGCCAATTTTCCAACCCAGAAGGGATGGAAGACTTGGCGAGCCCGGGCGGTAGAATCGATCCCATGTGTATTGCAAGGCAAATGATGCTACTGCTCCATACGCGCCCCTACACAACGTAATGTTCCGTAAATTCGTTGTTGGACACCAATGTCAGATTTATCAACGGCCAGCGAACGTGAGTACGATCG